CATTTTTGTCTTTGGCATCTAAGTTAATCCATTTATAAAGCATGAGATTCTTTTGTGCAAGTGTTTATTATTCTTATCTCTGCCATTAGAATCTTGTGGAATGTAATGGAATTATCAACATTTTACTGTAATAAATTTTCTGCAAAATGGATATTTTCTTAGTGTTAATATAAATTCCAAGAGCAATTAGCATGAAATATATTTGAATTATAATTAAATATTGAATATAGGTCTGACCATAGCGATATGTGACTTTGGAATTCTTATCTACAACATCTGTTTTTAACTAGAAAATAGCAAGATATTTAGAATATTTTGTTCATGATCTAAATGTATGTATAAAATTATAAGTCTGCCATTAATTCTTATAGGTATGTGTTTCATTTTTACTGTCTGTGATGATCTTTATTTTTCATTCTATATTCTATATTCATTCTGAGCTCATGTTGTATTGTACGTATCTCGTTTGACCACAGTGCGATTGGACACCGTGCGATTGGACATTGCTTAATAGTAACTTTCTGGTAAATAATTTTAATATTGACAATGTAAATCAACGACGACGCATTCAATCAATACATATTTTTAATGAATATTATATCACCTTAATATATCATTGTTTATACAGGATATAGCAAAAGTACCGGAACGGCAAGAAAACTCGGCGGGGGAGCATTTTAGAGAAAAATGTTTCGAATAAAAGTTGTAAGGCTTAAAAAGTCGCATTTAATGACAGTAGTTATTTGACCTAAGATGACGTCGACAAGGTCAACTTTGCTTTTTTAAATAGAAATATATATTTTTTTATTACGGCATTTTATTCTACGTGAAAAAGCAAACAACTTTTGCTTGGAAAAATTTTTTATACGACCTCTATTTTCTAAGATATTTACGTAAATATCTACAAAATTATTGGTTTCAATAATTTTTTACTTGAATTCTATCTTTACCGAAAAATATCAAGAGATAAAAATTATTTATTTTGTTCTCATAGAGCTCTGAGAATTTTTTCAAAATTTTATATTAATTTTTTAGTACTGTATTTTCTTGCATTTTCTTGATGTACTAAAAAGTTAACACAAAATTCTGAAAAAATTCTCAGAGCTTTTTGAAAACAAAATAAGCAATTTTTATCTCTTAATATTTTTCGGTAAAGTTGATAGAATTCAAGTAAAAAATTATTGAAACCAATAATTTTGTAGATATTTACGTAAATATCTTAGAAAATAGAGGTTATATAAAAAATTTTTTCAAGCAAAAGTTGTTTGCTTTTTTACGTAGAATAAAATGCCGTAATAAAAAATATATTTCTATTTAAAAAAGCAAAGTTGACCTTATCCTGACCTTGGCGACGTCATCTTAGGTCAAATAACTACTGTCATTAAATGCGACTTTTTAAGCCTTACAACTTTTATTAGAAATATTTTTCTCTAAAATGCTCCTCCGCCGAGTTTTCTTGCTGTTCCGGTATTTTTGCTATACCCTGTATATATCATCGTTATTAAGATTATTTAATAGAAAGTTACTATTTAATACACGTATCAAGTGCACGATGTAAACAAGGCCACTGCCATAAAAATTAAGTAGCAGAGATTTTGGGAAATTAGAGTTCATCAGTAGGATAAGTCCGATGCACAATAGGTGTAGTAAGCTTCAAGCTTTAAGAAATTGACCAATCATAGTCGAATTAGACAAGAATAATCAATAGTGATTGGTCAATTTTTTACGGCTAAAACTTACTACACCTATTGTGGGTTGGGACTAATGAAACTTAGCAATTATTATAATGACTATTTATCTGACTTTTTTAACGATTTTTTTTTATAATTGGAATTTCGAGATTGTTTTAGAGTCAATATTACTATAGTAATATTACTAGTAATATTGCTATAGTAATATTACTATAGTAATATTACTAGTAATATTGCTATAGTAATATTACTATAGTAATATTACTATAGCAATATTGACTCCAAAACAATTTCGATAACTATATATAAACGAAAATTCGAATTATGAAAAAAATCGCTTCAAATCGACTGCCATTTTGATACCGCTATGTTTGTTGAAAAAATACCCATTGCATATTTTTTAAATTAAAATGTCGGGAACACGTCTTATAGCATGTTCGACTGGCTCTGGGTTATTCAGCCTACATTTATTGGTCGAACAAGTACTTATAAGCTTTATGATTGGCTAGTAGAGACTTATGACGTCATTAATCGCTCCCAGAGCGATTAACCCAGGGCCAGTCAAACGCTATTGGACATTTTGTCGAGTGATACTAACACGTTTTTATGGAGAAAATAGCGAAAGAAGAAAAAATAATCCCTAAAAACATGCAATTTTTATTTTATTTTGCAAAAATTTTGCATAAATTGTAATTTTGTCTTAATTTTCTCAACGCTATTCGATAAAGCTATATCGAAAATAGTAGGAATGATACTTTTTATAAACAACAGACCTTATTTCCGTAATAAAATAAATGGCTCGTCAACGTAAAATTTCAGCACATTTGGATGTTAATGGGTTAAAACAATGCATTCATGCATGGATATTTAATTTATGATCTATATTGTATGCAATTGGAAGTATAATTACAAATCAAGGATATTAAATCATAGTACAAATGGGACGCTCCACTGATGCAACATCGAAGAATATGTCGCATCCTTTCGCGTGCCGATTTCTTATTGTTGCAGTAAATGCTATAAATGCTTATTTATAAATGCTTATTTATAATGCTATAAATGCTTATGTATTTTGCAATCTTTTAATAAAAATGTTAAGGCTCTGCTATCTCGGGGCGGCCATATTGGTTTGATGACGTCATAAGCGAAAAAGGACATACCGAAAAAGGACAAAATCCCTTGCGTTTTATTGCTTTATTTTTTATTTTTCCCTGAAAAACCAAATATTTTCCTAACCAAATATTTTCCTAATCCTGAAACCTGTAAAAAGTACAGTAAACTGAGATATCTAGCTGATATATCGCGTAGCATCGTAAAATAATTCCTGAAATAATGGTTGCGTTCAGCAGAGAAAGCCGCTTTGCAACTGTTGTAAAATTCGTCAATTTGATTGGAGTATGCTCTTAATTTGAGTTGAATACAAGAGCATGTAACCAATCAGATTCACGAATTTTACAACAGTTGCAAAGCAGCTTTCTCTGCTGAACGCTAATGTAGCCAATGTTACATTTTTCGACTGTCCTTGTGGTTGTAATAGCTGAGATATCGGTATATATGAACATATTTAATTTCTCGATTTTCACCATATATCACCAGTATCACTGAGTTTGCTGTACATTTTACGGTAATATACACACTTCACGGAGAAACTGAAAAATAACGCGATAAAACGCAAGTAATTTTGCGAAGTGTCAAGTGAAATCTAGCGTGAGCCTGGCCTAGTGTCAGCCAATCAGCTACGCTAACACGGTTATTTTGTGTTCTCAACACTGCTAGGCGCCACCGTCAATTCATACTTTCTGCGGCGAGATAGCAAAGCCTTAATAAGAATTAGTTATATATAAATTATTTATGTGTTGTATTTAATTGTTAATTGAAATAGACATTTCATTATATTTAAGCAAAAAAAATATATTTATAAAAGATATTTTCGTAAAAAATTAAAACATGATTACATTTAAGTAAAATCATGTTTTAATTATTTATAAAAAATATTTTTCATAAATATTTATTAAATATTCAACATAATCTTTTTTATATCCTGAATTTCCTGGACATTGGAATATTTACAAAATATTTAATGTTCATATTTCTAAAATATTTTGTGAATATTGTGTGCTGTCTGAATAAGAATATATCCCATTAAAATTCCACTGAATATTATGTGTATATATTGTGACGTGACGATTTTTTGTTATCGTCCGTCACTCGGAAAACACGGAACTTTCCGTCGTGCGGAAGCCGAAAGCAGGCTTACCGGCTGCAGGTGGATGTCGCGTCCTAACGGTAAGGCGAATAGGACTGCGTGGCCCGAATATTTTTGTGTATAAAATAAGAGGGCGGGTGTCGAAAGGTCGGGTCAGGAGGAAGAGGACATCAGGGAGGATTCGCTGCCGCCGAGGGAGAAGAGAAGTCAGGATCAGGAGCATCGGACAGACCAAAAAGCCGGCGGCACGAGCCGCGAGTACAGTGTTACAATATACATACAGGATGTTTTAGACCTCCATGATCACACTTTGTGAGAACGTAGAACGGATTGAGATGAGCAAGAAAGTCCTGTGCCATTTTACGATATTCGCAATAGTTTTTGAGAAATTAATCATTTGGTCTCAGCTAATCAGGGCATAGGAAGCGGCAACCGAAAGAAAAGATGTCTTCGGCCGACGCACGACCGTGATAGACTAATTTCTATCGAGGGTCCGAATCGGGTCAGAGTCGGGTTAAGTCTGTTCTTTTTTGCTTTACAGCTGTCTGATGCAATAAGTTGAAGTGAGACAAACATATATTTGTCGCGGGAGCGTCCCGATTGACCACGGTACGATTGGACACAACCAACCGGTGTTAAAAATTATCTAGTGAATTACTAGGTCGAACCAATCATTACAATCTGTGTCCAATCGTATCGTAGTCAATCGGGTCCCACCCATTTGTCGTCCTCCAACTTATTGCACAGTGCAGTTGTGCAGCGAAAAAATATCGCCATATATAAAAAAATATATAAGGACGAACTTGTATGTTTTGTGTAGTTTTTATTTTTTTAGTTAAATAAAAGAGAAAAAGAAGGGAAGAAGAGAAAAAGAAGGAAAGAAATGAAGAAACAAGAATGACAAAAAATGAAGTGGAGATAGAGAAAGAATATAGTATAGACAGATGGAAACAGGAACAGGAGATAGAGAAAGTAAATACGAACATCTACTGCGTAAAGTCTACTTCTAAGTATTTTTTTCCATCAACATTTCGTAACATATTTTTATTTTATTTATATATGTAAATACAATATGTATTATGTATTATATTATATATCTCATATATATAAAAAAAAATAGATATAATAAGTTTAATTAAATCTAGCCAGTTTTTTTGTTCGAAAATTTAGAAATATGAAAATATATAAATACAATAACTAACTTAATCTATTTTGGTGAATGTATAAAATAATTAGTCATACTATCTTATATCACTTTGTAATATCTTCTGAAATAGTTAATAAAATAAAATGAATCTGATTAACTGCCATATCATGCATGTATGGACTATTTTATAACTTGCTTTTTCCTGATATTAAGTTGTGTAAATATGTTTTTATTTGCGATGGAGTACGATTATTAAGGCATTTGTTTTTAGTTTTAAAAATCTGAATATCTTTTAGTGAAGGCAGTTGCGATTTTTCTATTTTTTCATTAAATGCCTTTAGCACTGTATTTCGCTCTTGTTCACTCCATCGAACTCGTTTTATTTTACTGTACGAAAATGCTATATTATAAAGAAAATAAAATTTATAAGTTAAATATCTTTTAATTTTAAGTTTAATCTTACACGAAATAATCATATTTTTATACTTACTACTACGTTGTGTCTTGCTTATAGATGCAACTGTTTGTAATTCTTTTTGTATCTCGTCTTTATAATTTGAATCAGAGTTTCCAGTTTCATTTTCATCTTGTTCATTAACTGGTGCATCATCATATTCTGAATCGGAGTTTCTACTTCTAGTTTTATTTGGTCCATTAGTTGGTGCATTGTAAATTTTCTCGTTTTCATCATCAGCATTATCTTCTACATCATTACCCGATGCTTTCTCTAATAACTTCGACAATTGCAGAATTTCTTTATTAAGACATGCTTGCTTGTAATGTCTTTTATGGATTGCTATATCATGTCCCATATGGTCAGCCAAAAGCAATGTCTGAGATTCAGATATATCCAAAATTCCACATTGCGTCGCAATGTTTGCGCAATTGAGTACTTTGTAAACTATAAGGTACACGGCTTCACATGCTGATGAATACTCTCGCATCAAATCACAGGCTATTAAATATTTGTAACGATTATTAACTGCTGAAAGAAGACCGAATATATATGGATTCTTTTGGAACACTTTAACTTTTTTCTATGATTTAGTATCATTTGTATACACTGTACTAAATTAGCTGATAAAAGAACAGGCACTGATCTTCCGAGTTTACCTCTTATTGTAAACCTCACATATTTTTTTGCTAATTTTTTCATTTTTTCCGTTAAAGTATTAAATAAATCAGGATAATTTCATTTAAACTTTCATATTTTTCAAAATCTTCGATTAGCACGTGCTCCAGTTCACCTGGCCTTCTTCTATTAAATAAAAGTATAGATAGAAGAGTACTCTTATTTAAAGAAAGCCAGTTATATGAAAAGCTTCTTTGTAATTTCTCGTAACTAGATTTTCTTTCTTGTAATAGGTATTCATGTAACACTTGTATATCTTTCATATTTGGTAAAATAATTTGTTTCTGCCGTTTATTTGTAGTTATAGTTTCTTCGACAGTTTTATTTATACTGGTTGTATAATCTTCGTCTAATAGGAGTAAAAAGTCTTCAGCATTTTTCTTTGTCTTTGCCATATGTTTCTTAATAAAATTTGAGATTAATATTTTTCCGATTTCTTTCAAAAGCGTTCCTAATCCCTGATGCTACAGACGGTGCGCCAAACATATTATTTTCCGCGTTGTAACGTACAGTCACACGTACAGCGGATATACAATCGTCATAGAAACGAGGATCATATAATGATGAGAAATCAGTTATAGCTGGTTGTATTCTTTTTAACGCTATTAAAAAGCGTCCTATGAGTCTCAAACGAGCGCGGATCATATCCTCTTGATATTGTTGACAATATTTTGTGTTCATCTTGTTTCCATATAATATAATTAAGCTATCGTATCTAATAATTCGTGTTACTTCGTCATCTCTTAATATTGGAAATATTTTAGTCCTTAATATATTTAATGCATCACGATGAATCCTACCACTAATTTTCCTGCCAAGTATGTTTACACATCTCTTCCCTTGCTGATGTAAACAAGTAGCACTATGGTGCCTTATATTATTCTTCGTAAAATATCCTTTACATGATGCACAGCAAATAAAGTCAGTTGCACTTCTTTTTTTCAATGCTGATGGTCTACGACATACAATTAGTTCCGTTGTATTATAACATCGATCTGTATTGAACAGATAATCTCCTTTTTTTCTAATAGTTTCTATAATTTTTTCTCGCTCAAAATTTCCTATAGATAAAAACAGTAAGAATTAAATATAATGTTAATAAACTAGCTTAATAATAAGATAAAGTATAAATCACCTTTTGGTAAATAAATAAATTTTTTCACTTCTTCGGTACGGTGGATAAATTCCAAATGTCTCGCAATTTTTGTTTGTAATTTCTTACAATAGAAACAAAAGTGTTTTTTATTGGCACCTTTAGATTCAGAAGATTTAACATGCATATCTTCATCATTGCATGCATGAACAACATTGAAATCTTAGAGAAAGTTATCAGAATAACTGGTTTCATTCTGTTTTGTTATTGTGACATCTTTGTCTACAGAAGCAAATAATTCGCTCAACTCATTACGTTCTAACATGAAATCAGGATCATCTGCACTACAGTCTGCATCGGTGAGTATTGAGTTAATTGTACTATGTAAATCTGAAAAATATGCAATTGTATAATTTGTTTAATAAAATTAATGCGAAATAAAAGATAGGCACTATTTTCTGACTGTTCAATAATTTGATTAAAACTTTTAGGAGTGATAATTGTTTTAAAAATATGTTATATATAAAATATAATAAATGTTATAATATATGACGTATATATAGTATACATCATAAAATACAGTCGCCAAATATATCTGTATGCTTATTTTATTTCGTAATAGTTTATTATAAACTTATTACACAAAATGTCCCATTTTAATCAATACAGATAAATATTTTAAAAACTATTCGAGATATTGAAAATAGTTTCAAGAAAAATTTATTTTCTAAAAGGAAAAGACGATAATATTTATTTAACTTTGAAATGACCATGAAAATTTCTATTAAGATCAACTTAAAATTTTTTTATCGAATTATGTAGTTTTGTTTTTTAACATCAATTGATTTTTTGGTTATTTTGCGTATAAAAATAGTACTAGAATAAAATTAGTCAAAAAGTAAATACTTTCCGAATACTCCGTATGAAACATTCATTTCTCGATTATCTAATCTTAATACTTTTATACGTAGAATAATGGGGAAAATCGATTGTCACTAGAAAACATAGAGAAACCTTGAATAAAATTTTGTTGCATTTTTGCAGATTCATTCATGCATCGGTATGCAAAGATTAATACCGCCGATTGATTTCTCTCATTACTATACAGGGTGAATATTATATACCGGAACACCTGAATATCTCGAAAACAAAGCGTTGTATAAAAAAATGTTAAATACAAAAGTTGTAGGGTTTAAAAAGATCTATTTTATGATATTAGCAGTTTGACCTTGA